GCGTGGCCGAGCTGCACTCCGGTCAGCGGTGGCCGGCCGGGGTGATAGGAAGGTGCACGCTCAGTGTGCACCTTCCTGTCAGTCCGACCGGGTACAGGAAACAGAAACTCCTGTTCCGCGTGGAGTTTCTGTTTCCTGTAACCGGCCGGACTGACAGGAAGTGCACACTCAGTGTGCCCCTTCCTATCACTCCGACCGGCCACCCAGCGGGCCGGTGCAGCTTCGACTTTCCAGCTACAGGGAAGCTGCAGCCGCCTATCCGGCTCTTCACAGGCTCCAGGCTGCAGTCATTAAAGGAGCCGGCCCAGGTGCCCGGCGGCCCGCATTTCCGGTATCCCGGTGGGCCAGTCCGGCCCTGCGTATGTACCTTTGCCAGGTATATGTGGATGTTGAAGGGGCGCATTTGAGACGCAGCCATTCAGTTTTTTTCTAACTTTGAAGTTTTACGCTGTGTCCATGTTCCAATTTGGAGTAGTTTAGATGGTTGGTTATTGAAACTTCCCCACAAACACAAACTATTTATTAAAGAATACACTCTGGGGTAATTCAAAAGGCATATTTTGAACCTTAGCGTGGGATCATTTTTTTTCTCTAGTTTGTTCCAGGTGTAGTGGTAATGAGCGTTTTTAAATGTATTTTTTTACTTTTTGAAACTTTTTTACTTTTAAAAACTAGTTTATAAACTTTTGTTTTGCTTATTAATTTGTTTTAAACTTTCCTAAACTTTCTTAAAACTTTTTCTTACAGAATTAAAATATTTCTAAGCTTTTTTTTTTACCGTTAACCCCTAACTAGCAGTAAGCAGCACTAACAGTAAATTCCCCATTTTCCCATAACTCCCACCCACCCCAGCTAGCAAAATATATAATTATGAAATATTTAAATTCATTAATTAAATAAATTGAACTCCTGAGGGTTAAAAAATAAATAAAAGTTAATCCTCAGGGGTTAAAAAAAATTAGATCACAGTATAATGCTGTGATCTGTATTTTGATCACTGTAGGCAGTGATCGACTGGCAGGGAAGGGGTTAATTTTTATTTGGACTGGGTAAAGGGAGGTTTTTTTTATTTTTTACTTAAACTGTATTACAGCTTTTTTTAGCTTAATTTGTAACTTTTTAAAGTTTATTTTAAAACTTTTCTTAACGTTAACCCCTAGTTAACCTAACACCAAATCCCCCAATTCCCCACTAACTTCCACCCACCCCAGCTTGCTAAATATATAATTTTAAAATATTTAAAATTAATTAATTAAATACATTTAACCCCTGAGGGTTAAAAAAAAAGAATTAATCCTCAGGGGTTAAAAAAAAAATCAGATGACAGTAAAATTTAATCCCTGCCAATTGATCACTGTAGCCATGCATGGGATACGGCAGTGAAGAAAAAAAATAATCTTAAAGGGACAAAGAGGTCTGCATGCAATAGAAGTGGATAGTGGAGAGTTAAAAATGAGGCATAAATGGGGGTGGGGCCTGACCGCCAAGCCGAGTGGATGCAATTCGCATCGGCTCCTTACCAATTCTCACATTAAAGCCCAAACTCACTGGCTAGGGCCAGCCGATGGGCAACACTCGAGGCCTAGCCTTGGGCCTGGCGGAGCATACTGAGAGTGCGACCAAGGCCCTGTACCCTCCCCTGTGGTCCGGTGGGGGTTATCCAGGGCCCGACTAAGCTAGCACTCACCTTTGAAACTCTCCTGGGTGACCTCTGCACAAACGGCTCCTATGCGGTCAAACCAAAATGGCAGACGACACCGCTGCTCCAGTGTATGAGGCGACAGAGTCAACCCCCACAAAGCTGGACTTACTCTTTGAGGCATTTTGGCAAAAGATCAGGGAGAGGCAGTACAGCGCTGCCGTGAGGCAACATTCATCTCCTGCAGCCCAGCGGTCCATGACCCTTCTGAAATGGAACTGAGTCACACCCGGGCGACGGATGAGATGGCGACCCAGACGGATCAACTCAGGTGCAAAGCCTACCAACTGTGCTTCCCCAAAGATGCCCCCTGCCAAAACAGTACATCTATGGCACTTCCAGGCCACACACGGCCCAGGCCTTTATGAGAAGAAGGGCCCTCCGGAACCACAGAGAACTCACCCTTATGCAGCAAAGAGAGCGGGTGGAAGACGGAGAGGGCAGGCGACAACAATATACGGAATCCACAGAGACCCAGACAAACTTGCCTACACCATGCATGGTATGTCAGTCCACGCCAACTCAAGATGCACAGTTATCCACCAACAAAAGGGTAAATGCTTGCCCCGGAGTCACCCGCCAAAATCCGCAACTGTACCAGTGGCAGAAGCTCCATCCTGGCGGAAAAACATACACCGCACTTCCCACAAGCTCAAGACAGCGCAGAAGCACACACCCACGGTGAAGGCTCCAACATGGGACACACAAGCAGCGAAGCCCAACGAAACTATCAGTGGCACGGAGGCGGAAACCGACGTGGAGCAAGCCAAAGCCCTGCACCAAGCCTGATAAGCCACGGAGAACCCTGGTCCTGGTCGCCAAAACGCACTGCCTATCACCTGGACCTCAGAGCTTGGCATGCTCCAGTACGGACAGGGACTGTGCTCTACCGATACAAGGCATAGGGTGAATGGGGATTGTAGCATGGTTACTGCAGGGGGTACTATCAGCCTTAATTTGCTAGATGTGGAAATACACTCCTGATATTTTTTTTTTACCTTCCACCCTATTTGCTCTCTGAGCCCAGCTAGGTCTGTTAGTTTTATACCTGATGTTTCATATTCTTTTCTCTATGAATGGCCTCCCATGACACCTTTCTCGCTCAGCTATAACTTGAGTCATCAACGCCACTGGGACAGTGTCCAAGACATGCTGGGTACCGGCTGAAACACACTATGCACCTATAAATACAGCTATCTGCTTTCTTGTTAGGGAGTTTATGATTTTCTCTGCTCCATATGTTTTGCGAACTGTTATACATCGTTCCACCATACAGCACACAGTAGTATTAACTACTCTAAGTCTGCCATATAAACTAGGCTCCATGCCTATGTTAAGCTTGTTTTGCCTTCCATAGCATAGGCATATAGAGCACTCCCAAAATCCAACATGTATTATTGTGCTTTCCTTTATTGTTTTCATTTTGTTTTCTCATCCTTGCTGTCAGGAAGTAAGGCGCACATATTGCCTCTCTGTTGATTCCCTATTGACCAGTATGATACCTTGTCGTATGTGCTTACCACCAATCTGTAAAGCCACCAATATATATATATGTTCTACTGTCTGTCATTTATTTACCAAGCCTTAAGCAAGGTTCATCGTAACCTGTCACTGACAGTATGGATTGCCCAGTATCAGACCCATTATAAGTACCCTGACGGACATGCGAGACTAGCCTGAAAAGGCCTGTAAGTTACTCATTGTTTTTATTAAGTTCACTAACTCAACTACTATAACTAAACAAAATGAACATGTTTACTATAACTCAAAATCTGCAGTCCAGTGTGTTGCTGTTGTGGCAATACAGGTCAGCTTGTACTTCTATGCACCAAAAATAATTAAAAAAAATAAAATGAGGCGTAAATGTATTGACAATAGAAACAGAAAAAATATACAGGGCGCCACAATCACCAGATAAATAAACGAAAAAGATGAAGATAATATTGTTTATTTGATAATGTGCACCAACAATGTGCAAATAGTAAAAAATATTCTCACATAAAAAGCCTCAATAGGCTAAAAGACCCATAGGTATAGCAGCTCTTATATAACATGAAAAAGTGCTAAATGCTAAAGTGCAGACAGTAATATAAAGTGGCAGAGTGCAACTCCCATCACTTCAAGCTGGTAAACATAAACAATGTCCACAACTAGTCACATAGACAAAAATCATGTGAAACAGAAACTGCTGATACCAAAGTAGAAGGGTCCCCAATGCTGCTCAACGCGTTTCGTCCTTGAGACTTCGTCAGGAGCTTCTTGATCTTCCCTCTTTCTTCTCTCTTTTAAATCCGCCGGTCTGCCGGTTCTTTCGTGACCACGCATGCGCCCGTCACGCGCACCGTCATACGTCATGACGCACGCGTGAACGTACTGCGCATGCGCGGCCACGTTGGAACGCAAATAACTTTATTGTTCAATGTGCATAGTAGCAACTGAACGTCTTACAACAAGAATGTTCATAATACTGCTGAGACTATCGGATGATTGAATAAACGTTGCTTCATAGGGAAGGGAAGAAGGGAAAAGGGGAAGAAAAAAATTTAATAAACCAAAAAATGTGTATATGTATTAATATAGACCAAAAATCAAAATATATATATAAATATAAAAAGAGGTGCATATAGCACAAATAGAGAAATTGTATATTTAAAAATATATCAAACAGGAGGGGAATAAAAAATAGTATAAAGCACATTTATTCTTAAATAAATTGAATACTCATTTTTGACACTCATTTTTAACATCAAAAAAATAAAATACAATAGATGCAGTATCTAAGGAACAGGTTACACATATAAAAATCCTACATCATAATGATAGAAAAACAGATACTGCATATATAAGAGGATATTATATCCATAAACATAAATATAAATAGATATGTAGACATAAATAGAATGGGGACATCCATAATAATTCATAGATAACAGAGGTAAAAATGTTGAACTTTTTTCAATTGTCAAAGTCAATTTGTTGTTTATATGTTACAATGTAAATGTGGCGCCCAGTATATAGGACGCACAATTAGGAAACTTCATATAAGATTACTTGAACACTTTAACGGGATTAAAAATAAGAATACGAAACATAGTGTTCCTAGACATTGTAATGAATGCAATGTGTTTGATTTTAAAGATTTTATATGTATAGGGATTGATAAAGTTATACCACATTGGAGAGGGGGAGATACAGAAAAGATGCTAGCAAAAAGAGAAACTGAATGGATTTATAAAATGAAATCATCTGTTCCCTTGGGTCTTAATACAGATTTAGATATTTTATCCTTTATTGATTAAAGGATTTTTTTTTCTTCTTCTTTTTTTTTCTTTTTTCTTTTTTTTATGTGTTTTTTAAATGATGTTTTAAAAGACAATATTTTAAAAAAAGTTCAACATTTTTACCTCTGTTATCTATGTATTATTATGGATGTCCCCATTCTATTTATGTCTACATATCTATTTATATTTATGTTTATGGACATAATATCCTCTTATATATGCAGTATCTGTTTTTCTATCATTATGATGTAGGATTTTTATATGTGTAACCTGTTCCTTAGATACTGCATCTATTGTATTTTATTTTTTTGATGTTAAAAATGAGTGTCAAAAATGAGTATTCAATTTATTTAAGAATAAATGTGCTTTATACTATTTTTTATTCCCCTCCTGTTTGATATATTTTTAAATATACAATTTCTCTATTTGTGCTATATGCACCTCTTTTTATATTTATATATATATTTTGATTTTTGGTCTATATTAATATATATACACATTTTTTGGTTTATTAAATTTTTTTCTTCCCCTTTTCCCTTCTTCCCTTCCCTATGAAGCAACGTTTATTCAATCATCCGATAGTCTCAGCAGTATTATGAACATTCTTGTTGTAAGACGTTCAGTTGCTACTATGCACATTGAACAATAAAGTTATTTGCGTTCCAACGTGGCCGCGCATGCGCAGTACGTTCACGCGTGCGTCATGACGTATGACGGTGCGCGTGACGGGCGCATGCGTGGTCACGAAAGAACCGGCAGACCGGCGGATTTAAAAGAGAGAAGAAAGAGGGAAGATCAAGAAGCTCCTGACGAAGTCTCAAGGACGAAACGCGTTGAGCAGCATTGGGGACCCTTCTACTTTGGTATCAGCAGTTTCTGTTTCACATGATTTTTGTCTATGTGACTAGTTGTGGACATTGTTTATGTTTACCAGCTTGAAGTGATTGGAGTTGCACTCTGCCACTTTATATTACTGTCTGCACTTTAGCATTTAGCACTTTTTCATGTTATATAAGAGCTGCTATACCTATGGGTCTTTTAGCCTATTGAGGCTTTTTATGTGAATATATTTTTTACTATTTGCACATTGTTGGTGCACATTATCAAATAAACAATATTATCTTCATCTTTTTCGTTTATATCTGGTGATTGTGGCGCCCTTTATATTTTTTCTGTTTCTATTATATGTTTTAAGGTTTGAGTGACCTTTTACAGTGGCTTGCCTGCATACAGATATCACTACACTTCACCCAACCCTGTATTTGTAAATGTATTGACAGCAGCTTTCTATTGGAAGTCAGATGAAGGCGCTGAATTGGAAAGGTTCAGGTTTTTTTTGTGAAACCTCTTTTGTATGTATTTTAACATAACACAAGTTAGATAAAATGTGTGGAGACTTGAGCATGGACTAACTCGAAGGTAAGCTAATTGAGTTTCTGTCTCTTCTTAGTGTTCAGCCTACTTTCAAGTGGTCTGAAAAAACTATGTATCTAACCTGCACCCAAATCCCATCATATTATTTTTTTCTTCCTCATTTTCCAACCAAAATATATTCCATGAGTTAGCAACTTTCAGCCATGCAAAATCACCTTCAACCCCATTGAATTCCATGAACTGATAGAGGCTTCCTGTATCACATCCTTTTTAAAACAAGTGTTTAACATCTGTATGCAAGGACATATGAAGGGACTTTGTCATACATATGATAAAAGTGTTATATTTTAAATATATAGAACAACAAATATAACAAAACTAAAGTTGCTATCCCCGTTCCGTAGTTTCACCATAGTTCTCCCTCCAGCATCTCTACAACCTGTACATGATTGTTTCAATTTTGAGAAGGCATGGCTATGAAATAAAATGCAGTAGGTTATTTTTTAAATTTTTTTTGCAAATTGCTACAAAAGCACACATGTGCTGGTTATTCCTTCCAATGCTACTGTACTCATCCCCATAGTTCCCAAATTCAAGGCATCAGGAAGGTCATGGCAATTTGCATCATATATCAACAGTGCCTTTATACCTTACCTTATAAAGTAATTAAAAAACCAACAACATATATATAAAAAACAAAATAGCACAACTCATAGATATTGGACTGTGCAAAACCCTGAAAACTACACTCTCCATTACTGCGTAATGTGTTTACAGACAATGGAAACAAGACAAAGACTGCAAACCTATATATAAAAAAAACAGAAATAGCAGATGTTAGGGTGCAATATATTTTATATACATGAACAAAGAGCAGTTTTTCTGTAGAAAATAAAAGATATCAACAAGTTAAATGCAATATCAATTCAAGATATTGAGTGACCTTGGAGGAAAAAAAAACTAACCACGGAGGACATAGATGAAAGTGCCTTACGTCAAGGATGCTACTCTGAACAGAGTTTGGGTTTTTGTTTTATTCCTCAGAATATCAGGTTATTTTAGGATCTGCAAGGACATCAAAAACGTTTTCTTCTGAAGGCATTTATGATGAAATAGGTAACTGTTGAATTTGTC